CCCCACCCAAGAAGGAGACCCTTCACCATTTCTGACAGAGGGCAGTCAAGTCTCTTCTTGAAAGGCTCCAGGGACGAAGCTCCCACAACTTCTCAAGGCAACTTCTGTTCCATGGGTTGATTGTTCTCCCTGTCAGAAAATTCCTCCTTATATCCTGAATCTCTCCTTGGTCAGTTTCCATCCATTATTCCTCGTCTGGCCTCCGGGTGCCTTGGAAAATAGCTTGAGCCCCCTCCTCTCTGTGGCAGCCCCTCAAATATTGCAACACTGCTATCTTGCCTCCCCTGGTCCTTCTCTTCCCTAGACCAGCCAGGCCCAGTTCCTGCAACCGTTCATCGTAGGTTTTAGCCTCCAGTCCCCTCATCATCCTGGTTGCTCTTCTCTGCCCTCTTTCCAGAGTCTCCACTTTTCTGGGAAAGCAAATGAACCCGCTTAAAAATAATAGCACGCCGCTCTGTATTTATTAAGAGGCAAACCATATAACAGGCAAGTCAAACACAGCACAAAAATGGAAGTGCTAAGAAGAAGCAGCAGCAGCAGCAATGGCTGCCTTAATTCGCTTAATGAGTAAAGCATCCCAAATCCACTGAGCAGGTCAGGCCTTCCAACAGGCAAGGATTTTAAAAAGGTTCTTTGGGGTGAAGGAATCCGGGCGGTGGCATCCGTCCTTCTGCTGCACCAGATGGTTCAGTCCTTTGGGCAAACGTCAGGCACGGAAACACACCACCCTGTGCCCATTGGTCACACCAAAGCCCACGCTTGATACTCTGAAAAAGGTTCTGGATACGAGCCTCACGCTTGACGCTTCTAGAGATTGTGAGTTTTTAGCGTTCAATGTTCTTTTCAAAACCTCTGCAGAAGTTTCACAGTTACTCGGACAAAGCCACAGCCACAGAATCAAATTGTATTGATTTCTTTTTCCCACCCCAAGACATTGTGGGAAGAAGAAAATATCACCAGCCAAGGGTGAGGAGCCGTTTCCTTTTGCTTACCAAAAGCAAGAGAGGTGTATTCAACCATTCCAATCAAACTTTCTCCGTTTTTCCCAGCAGTCCTGAAATCCGGAGTTTTCTGGAGGGGTCGTTTTCCTTGCATTGCTAATCTGTAGCTTGACTGCTGCTGCTTTCAGGACCGACTGAGGGACGGTTATGCTAACAATTTACATTAAATAACACACATTTTTTTAAAAAGAAAGAAACAGTAACCAGGCACACCAAAACTGTAAGCTAAGAAGAAAACACATGTGATTCTAGTTCACCTGAAAAATTTACAGTGGTGGATTCAATGCATTTAAAAATAAGAAGGTAGCAGAATAAAAACTGGCAACAAACTGACATCAAACCACAAACCGGGTCGTAATAAAGACATGGTATTTACACAAACCTCGGCTCAAGCTGCCAAGAAATTGCTCCTGGGTCAGGATGGAAGGGCGGCGGGATCAGGAAGCTGGAGAAGAGGGATCACGAGGTTGGGTGGAGAGACATCCTTAGGGGTCTCAACCTTAACAACTTGTGGTGACTTGTCCTGCTGCTGTGGCAAAGGAGACGGCCACAGCACGGAAGCCCCGATTTGGGATGCCATTACAGCCAGCCGCTCATCTATTCGCGAAGCATTTGCTCCGGGTCCTAATTCAAATAACCGAATGGACAAGGGCGTAGCAAAAAGCTGGCAATCGTTTATCCAAGCAGAACTGAGAAGCAAACAGCTCTGGAGCCGAAAATTATAAAACCTCACAAGCAAGAGAGGTTGGGGGTCTGCAAATCAAGGAAACGCAACACAAAATCAGGAACGCGGACCCCCCCCCCCAAAAAAAACCCAACGACAAAAGCCCCACAAACCTTCTTCAGACTTTTAAAAACCACGCATGATTAAGTTAATATAAAAATAGACATTTTACACAAGTCTGTACAGAGAGGAAAAACACAGGGAGGCTTATCGGCGTTGGAGGCGATGAGGGAAGATAAATAGGATGGGAAGGTGTAAAGCCTCAGTCCTTTTTAAATATTGGGGTTTTCCCCCCCTGAAAGCATGCATACCGCTCGGTCTGGGCATCGCCGAAAGGACTGCGGTGTTGTTCGCCAAGGACAGCAAAGACTGGGGGTGCTTTGTGGGAAGTGGGGTGATAGGGTTGGTAGAGTTCCTTTTTGAATTTGGGCTTTTGATGTCCAGGTATTGGGTTTTCCCCCGGCGATTTGTCTCTCTGGGGTAGTTTCTCAATCTTGGCAGCTTTAAGATTTGTGGATTTCAACTCCCAGGATTCCCCAGCCAGCTTAAAGCTGCCAAGATTTAAAAAAAAGGTGGAAAAAAAACCACCACTGGAGAATCAGATGCAGGTGTGATAACCAAAGGGCACTGAAAGAGGAATTGTCAATTCTTGTTCAACACACACACACACACACAC